ACACACACACACACACCGGGGTCGTCACAATATGTGTTTTTGCATATATGCAAAAACGCATAAAAAACAAATCACTGACCGCTCACGTCCGGTTCATCGGACGTGTATGCAAATTTCCTCTCACTCATGCCATGAATCAATTTGGACGAGAATGGAATAACTTTTGCTCGTTCGTGTAGAGGGAGACGATGCAATTTTATTGCTGCGAGTTAGCAGTCTTTCCCCAGATTCTGTCTTCCTCTGTTTCACAAAAAGTTTTATCACTCTGAAGTTTCCCTTTCTTGTCTTTCATGTTTTTATTATCTACTAAACTGAAGGTAATAGTTGAAAACGTTGCTCGCTATCAGAATGTTGTTTTTGAACTCACCCAAAAACAATGTGTCATTCGTCCGCTGGTGTTTACAAAGTCCTAATTATGCATACTGGGTCAACAAGCAATCAGTACAGACCAGTTAAAATGGTCTTGTCTAGATCGCTCATCCATTCTAATCTAAAAATCTGCCATGACAACTGAGTGTCGCCACAGGCTAGCTATCGTAGCACTTCCAGAACATTAATTTTTGTATTTACGGGACCGTTGCAGTGCTGAACGAATCTGAAAAAAGTTTAAATGAATGGAATTGTGTGCCACTGTGAACGAATTTTTTTCGAAATATAACCCATTATTTGTATACGAACCACAGACGCAAATGAAAGATTTTATTTAGCTACTGAACGATTTACAAACGGTTTCTGATTTTTTGTCATTACAGCAATTATCTTGAATTCTCCAGTCTATCCTTTTCCAGTTGTAACTTTTTTTCCGACCCAGCGCAGTGACTACTTTTCTGATTAAAAGTGAACGTAGGATGGTACCTATCATTAGGGAAATGATGTGAATTCGTGGTAAAAGCGAACAGGGATAAAATGAAAATAGATAGCCAGGGAAGAAAGTCGGGCGTAGCATCAGCATCTCAGCAAATTCGGTAGTTATGGCCAGATTTCTCGGATTATTTCTGGTGCAATTTGAAGCAAGCAACTTATTCACTCTCACAGATGTGGGAACAAAAAGTGTGGGGCGCTCGGAAATGTTCCAGCCTAAAATCTACACAGAATGGAAGGATGGTAAAATTTTTGGATCCAGGAGAGGTCAAGGACCGAGCTAACCTGAAAGATGCATTGGAAGATAATGGACATCAGCTTTAAAAATTGCTTGTTAGCATTCGGGAGGTTAGGTTAATGAATACTTGTCGTTAAATTATCATTGCGCTGGTATATTTATACAACAATGAAAAAAAAAAAAAAAAATACTAATCGCTGATGTGAAAATGTACTATTCGCTGTTATTGCCAAGGTGAACGATCTCTCTGGCTTTCCATTTTATGTCCCAAAAATGGCTGGATGGATTGGATTTGTGTAGCAAAGGTCACAAGGCCCTCTTAGCGCACT